CCCCCCCCCCCCCCCCCCCCCCCCCCCACACACACACACACACACACAGTCGCAGAGGAGTGTTATGTTCCCACAGCAGGCTGCAGGCTCCTCGTGGTAAATGAGCTGAACAAACTGAAGATCTGCCCTCAACAATAATCTGAACTTGCATAGCTTCTTGTAAAATCAGGGAAACAGTCATTTATCGACAAATCTATCAGCAGGAACATTTCTGTTTTCCTTCATTTTTTCTAATCTCCCGTGCTTTTGTTTGTTTGTTTGATCAGAAATTAATCCAGAATCATAGACAAACATTTGAACGGGACCAATGCAAACCCTTGATGTGCTGGCCGTGTCCCTGCCTGGGTTTCTCACAGTGTTTAGAGTCTTTATCCTGATAACGGGCTGAAAACAAACCTTGGCTCTGCTGGAGTTTTCTGTTCAGGCGGTTGTTGTTTTTGTCTCTGCGTGTTGATCTCCCCTGGTTTCGGCTCGTCGTATTGCTGTTAAGACTAAATGAAAATGTTTGGTTACTTCAGGTTTGTTTTAGTAAAGTACAGCAGCAAAGTAAAGTAAAGCAGAGAGACAAACATACCTAACAGAGTTGAAAATGACCCTTTTCACTCTACGATAAGCTCAGATGAGCATTAACCGTTGAGTTCTGACCCCATCAGCTGATAACTTCAGACCTGTTTCAACACCATCACCTTAACGCTCCTTGGTGACCTTCTGGACAAGCTGTTCACCTCAACTGGTCCTCAGCTGACGCTTGGGTTCTTCCATGCTCTCACGTGTTGATCAGGAATATCACCTGCACATCGTTGCCTCCAGGAAATTATTCTGATAGTCCAGGAGAAATCGTCAACATCCTCTGAATTCTAAAGCAAACTTTTGATCCGAATAGTCTAAGTGTCTAAATTTTTACACATGTATATCCTCGACATAGCTCTTAACATCCTGTTCACAAGATTTTCTTTTCTTCCACTCCTTCTCTTGCATGGCGGACACGTTTTCTTCCCTCTCCTGTTCTCCTCCTGCTTTTTTGCTCTCTGTCTGAGTATCGGAGCTCCTGTTTTACACACCTTCTGAAATGAAAACTACTGTCATGGATCTGGTCAGCTGGACTTTCAGCGCAATCAACAAAATCTTTTCAACAAAGCAACAGGGTCCTGGAGAGCCCTCATGCCCCTCTGAGACTCACGCTGGCGGACACATCATGGACGAGGGAGCTGATGTGTCTTTCTGTTCTGTCTCAGGAGGACACCAAAGATATATATATATATATAATTTGATTTATGATAACAGGTTTCCTGCTTTTTGGAATCGGCTGGTTCCTGGTTTATCAACTTACAAAGAAGACGGCTGCAGCTAATTTGGCCCTTGTCAGGCTGCCTGCCTTGAAGGTTTGGTTCTTGCTTTGAGGACTCAAAATCAGCTGATTTACGAGCTAAACCGTAAGATGGAAGCGATTTGTGAGAATCACAGTCCACCTGCGGCTTCTGGGACTCACCAGCATGTTGGAAACAACCTTGGAGGAGGCTTGTAAGCACGGACCAGTGGAATGCCCACTAATCTGGCCATTTGGGATCTTGAAGGTACCAGCAGGACTCAAGGCTGACAAGAACAAAAAGTCTACCTGAAAAAAAAAAAATCAACAATTGTGGCTTATCTGATTCTGATTCCCCCGGTTGGTCTCGAAAACAGGCCAATTTATCAAATTTCTCCTGGGAAATGTGTAAACTAATGAAAATCTCTGTCTATATATGGTTCATGAGATATTCTGCTAACAGACAGACAACGGAACAATGCACAAATGTACACACAGATACAGCAAATTATATGATTGTTCCTTTTATAGCATGCCATGCTATAAAAAAAAAAACTTGGTTGCATTGATATAAAGTTTTACGTTTCGTTGTGACAGCATCCTGTAGAAGCCTCGAAGCTTCAGTCTGGAGGAGGTGGGAGGAGCGCCCTGTTGGCTGACATCCAGAAAGGAGCCAGGCTGAGGAGAGTCACACAGGTCAACGACCGCAGCGCTCCTGTGGTTGATAGTGAGTCCAGCACGTTTCAATTCACCAGCCTGCTCACTGCACAAAACTGAAATAATTAAATTTGGAAATCCCACACCTGTAAATGAGTTAACTGACGTCCTTGGCCCTCGCACTCCTCGTTGTTCCTCCACTGTGCTTTTAGACACGTCATTTTAATTTAAGAAGCACAACGTTGTCAAAAACAGTTTTTACAACAAATTTCCCCATACCGTCATCACATCTAGATGGGACAACCGCACGTCTCTAGATTTTGGCCTTGAACTACCACCTCTCTGCCGACTGCAGTTAGTTCAGAACGGAGAGGCGTTTATGTACTAGAAGGACCACATCACTCCAGTTTCAGATTTACACTGCCTTTTTATTCAAGTGTTGGTTTGAAGATTCTTTTATTCACTTTAAAGTTTTGAAAGGGTCTGGCTCCCAATTGTTTAATTGAACATTATAACTTTGACAACCAGCCAGAACAGCATTGAGCCCCTCCAGCCAGGGCTAAATTAAAGCTCAGAGGGGATCAGGTTTCTGCAGTTTCAGCCCCCCCAGGCTACAACATGCCTGAAGGTCTACACAGTCTTTTGAATCCCACCTGAAAGCTCTTTTTTTACTGGGGCTTTTATTCAAGTTCAGTTTGAGTTCCATCATTTAGGTTGTGAGGTTTCCTTGTTTTAGTTGTTTTGTTTTAGTTGGTTTTTAATGGGATTTTTCTGAATTTACATTATTGTCAATTTTTCCTGTTGTTTTTTTTTAACCAGATTGTAAAACATTTTTGGTCAACCTTATTATTGATCATATTTATTGTAAATAACATTGATACTGTATGGATGTTTAAGTGACTGAGCCTCTCATGGGTGGCTGATGTGTGAGGGTGAAAAGACCATGAAAAATGAAAGTGATGGACAAGAGAGGGGAGGTGATCATGTAGGTCAGGAGGAAAATGTTGTGCGTCTGTCGGCTATATTTGAACTCACACATAAACGGGTCAGACTACACTTCTGGGAGGAAAAGAAGTGCAGGCCAAACAGAAACCTGCTTTATTAAGTGCACGACACAACAACAACAAAACTCCCAGTTACAACATTATTCCCCTCAAATGATGGTTTTCTGATTAAATGTGTAAACAATGTGTAAACAACTCCTGAGCTCCGAAAATATTTTAGTGCATTGAAAGTAATCAGAATCAGAATAAACTTTATTATCATTGCACCGAGATACAGCGAGAACATGTATGTACAGTCGTCCGAAAGATGGGCGGAGTGCACGAAGCTGCTGCTATAAAAGCGCGGCCCTTCTTATTTTTGTTCAAAATAATATTTTTGCTTAGATGAGAAGGGGAAAAAAAAACATGAGAATTAAGTAAGTGAGCAAGTAAGCAAGTAATTAAGTAAGTAAGTAGCCTACGTATATAAGTAAGTAAGTCAATAAGTAAGTACTGTAAGTAAATAAATAATTAATTATCATTAAGTATAAGTAGGTATGTAGGTAGGTAGGTAAGTACATATATAATTAACTAAGTAAATCAGTAAGTAAATAATACTGTAATTAATAACTTCAGTAAGTAAGTACATAAGTAAGTACTGTAAGTAAACAATTAATTAATTAATTAATTAAGTAGGTAGGTAGGTAGGCAAGTAAGTAAGTAAGGATATACTGAAGTAAGTCAGTAAGTAACTAACTACTTACTAAGTAAGTAAATAATTAAGTAAGTAAGCAAGTAAGTAAACAAGTAAGTAAGTAAGTAGCCTACGTATGTAAGTAAGTCCATAAGTAAGTACTGTAAGTAAAGAATTAATTAATTAAGTAAGTAAGTATAAGTATATAGGTAGGTAGGTAAGTAAGTACCGGTACATATACTGTATAATTAAGTAAGTCAGTCAGTAAGTAAGTAATACTGTAATTAATTAAATTAAGTAAGTACATGAGTAAGTAAGTACTGTGAGTAAGTAAACAATTAATTAAGTAAGAAACTAAGTAAGTAAGTAGGTAGGTAGGTAAGGAAGTAAGTACGTACTAAAGTAAGTCAGTAAGTAATTAACTACTTACTAACTAAATAAATATTTAAACAAGTAAGTAAGTAACTAACTAAGTAAGTAAGTAAGTTGGTAGGTAGGCCAGTAAATATGTAAATAAGTAATTAAATAAATACATAAGTTGTAAAAGATTATAAGCTAAAAAGCAACAACATTTGGCATCATCACATTTAATTAAATTAAGTCCAAATTCAAGCGTTCTAATTTGAACTTCATAAAAGAAAATCAACTTCACATAGTAGCATTCTGTGGAGACGAGTTGGCAATTTTAAACTAAATAGAAAATTTGGTCTAGCACCAAGAAATACATTGATTTGAAACTCATAAAACCTGTAACAAAATCAGTCTTTCAAAATGTATTGACCGACCATCCATCCATCCATCCATCCATCCATCCATCCATCCATCCATCCATCCATCCATCCATCCAACCATCCATCCATCATCTTTACCCGTTTATTCCATTTTGGGTCACGGGGGTCGCTGGTGCCCATGTCCAGCAATCACTGTGCGAGGGGCAGGGGACACCCTGGACGTGTCTCCAGTCCATCACAGGGACACATAGAGACAAACGAGACAAACAACCATTCACTCTCTCACTCACACCTAGGGACAATTTAGAGTTACCAATCAGCCTAACATACATGTTTTTGGTCTGTGGGAGGAAATCGGAGTACCCGGAGGAAGCCCACGCATGCACTGAGGGAACATGCAAACTCCACCCAGAAGGCCCCTGGACCAGGGTTTGAACCAAGGACCTGCTCGCTGAGAGGCAGCAGCTCTACCAGTTGCGCCACCGTGCTGCCCACGTATTGACCATGTTGGATAACAATATCCTCTATTCGTCTCAGTTACTAAAAGAGGCCAATACAATTTAATACATGCTTATCATCTATTTCAGTAAACAGACAGTCCATGATGACCTCGGCCTCCCAGCTGTACATGCAGGATCAAATCAGCTCCTCTCTGAGATAAAAGAACTGTCTGAACTCACACACATGGTTTAACAATAATTTCACATTAGTTTGTGATAAACATTATTGACCTTGACCAAAATACCCCTGACAGACCAGACAAGACAGATAAAAAAACATTTTATTTTATTTCAACCTTTATTAAACCAAGTAAACTCCATTGATATCAAAAATCTCTTTTTCAAGAGAGACCTGGCCAAAATGTGCAACGGCACTGTAGTGAACCAGATGACCTCAAATCTACCAGATGGACAGAGACT